GGGTGCTGCTTCAGGAGAAGAAGGGTAAGAAATTGGAGCTCCTTTCTGGAAGTCTTGGCTTCAGGCCAGGACAAAACCAAGGACATTTCCTGTTTCTGGTGAAGGACAAGAATTAGAACCACTTACTTCCTGGGTCCCTGCCCCTAAACTGCCTCACTAGTTTCTCTTCTCACCAATACCATTCTAAGTTCCTGGGAGGAGGGACTGAAGATTGATTTCATCTCCATGGGGAAATGATTCAATCAACCTTGCCTGTATTTAAAAAATATATACACCATAAAATCCCTGGACACCAAAACTTTGGTTTTCCTGGTGGTCGGTATTCTGTGACTGTCTCCCACATCAACATCGGCTGGAAAACACATTTCTGCAGGCAACAGAAGTGGCGTGTTGGCAACTTTCCAACTTGAATCTGAGGTCTTTACTATGCTCCCAGCCTTACACAAACAAACAAAACAAAACAAAAGCAAGCAGGAGACATAAAAGGAAATGAAGCTTATTTACAATTTTGGCCAAAACTGAGGAGAAAAAGACTTCCGCTTGACTCCACCTTGTCTATAGCAGCCTCACAGTTTCTAGAAAAGAATAAATAAACCGGGCAGTGGTGGCGCATGCCCTTAATCCCAGTACTTGGGAGCCAGAGGCAGGTGGATCTTTGTGAGTTCGAGGCCAGACTAGTCTACAAGAGCTAGTTTCAGGACAGGCACCAAAGCTACTGAAAAATCTTGTCTCAGAAAAAAAAAAAAAGAATAAATAAAAGCCAAGAAAGATGCGTGTGTGTAGCTGTGGGCCCCATCATCAGAAAGGTGAGGATGACCTCTTCCTGGAAGATGGCTCCTCCTCTGACACTCGTGCCTTCAGGGGTTCTTCCTCTGACGCCAGGGCCTCAGGCTGTCCTCACCCTCATCAGGAGGTTTCCTAGACAAAGTCTAACTGTTTAGGCTCTCTGTCTCACTGTCACATGGCCAGGATTTGCTCTATGTCTATTTCCGTGTGGGTCTAACCGGATCCCTCTGCTATAATTAAAGTCCAACAGTAAGAACAGCTCTCCGCTAAGTCCTGTAGGTCATTCCAGCAAAGAATCAAATCTGAGGTTGGTTCTGGAAAACCCCATAGCTTTGGGTGGTGTCTGGAATGCATCAGTCTCATGAGGACTGTTCCTTGTGACTGGAACACTGAGCTCTCCTTACAGACAGGAAGCTGTTCAAGGAGAGCGTGACGCTCCTCCGCTCCTCCGCTCCTCCGTGGGAGGGGTGGGTGTAAGGAACCGCGCTCCTGTATAAACAAATGCACCTCAGCCTGCAGTAGCAGTACCTCAGATGCAGTCCTTTTGGCCCTAATGACGTTGGGGGACGTTAGGGTTCGGTGGGCACCCTCAGAGCAGATCCAGGTTCGCGTGTTCTGAAACAAGGAACTGGACAGGGACACAGCTAGCAGTAGAGGCGGGGTCACCTTACTAAGAGAGTAAGGCAGAGGGAGGGGCCAGCCTGGAGCCGAGGAAACCAGTTTCCTGACTTAGAATGCAAAACTACACAAGGATTGGAGTTTTTCTATTTCATGGCATGGGCTTTGGGGCTCATTTGCATAATTTGCATAATGCAGGCTTGTGCTTTTTGCTTTGTCACATTTCTTACTCGTATCTTAAGTCTGCACATAGGTGTTATAATGACCTGACGGTAGGTTACCCTCACTCTGCAGGGCTTCTGTGCTGGCAACACCGGCTGAATTTAGATGGCCACAGAAGGGGTATTTCCAGCCTCCTCTGTGTGTGTGTGGGGGGGGGGCATAGTTTTGTGTGTGTGCATGTACATGTGAATGACTGAAGTTATCTCCCCATATATCTCCCTCAATTGTTCTTCACCTTTTTTTTTTTTTTTTTTTTTTTTGAAACAGAGTCTCATTCTGAGTCTGGAATTTACTGATTTCCAACCTGGGCATGGCAGCACATGCCTGTGACCCTAGTGCTTGGGACACAGAAGAGTGAGAATCAGAAATCCAACGCCTGCCTTAACTACACAGAGAGTTCAGTCAACCAGGGTTACACAAGACCTGAGAGAGAGGGGGGGAGCTAGAGAGAAGAATTAGGTCTCAAAGAATGGTTACCTGTGGTGCCTATTAGCTTACCAAAGTGCAAGCTGGCCTTCAGGCTCTCTCAGCACAAGTACCTGGGGCTCCCTGCCCTCTACCGGAAATGTCTCCAGCACATGGGCATCCTGCCTTAGCTTCTCACTGCCTTAGCATCCTGGTATTTGGGCTATGCTCTCTCTCTCTTGTCTTCCTCTAGTACCTCTCTCTCTTGCCCCTCTCTCGGTCTCCTTTGCCCACTCTCTCTGTCTCTTCTCTCCCCCTCTTCCCTGGGTCTCTTCTCTCATGGCCCAGCCTGCTGGTCACATTCGGTGTACTACTTTCTCTCCTGCTTTGGACTCTTCCAGATGCCTCCGGCCACACTCTGTCTACAATAAAAACCTCCTCCTCCAACATACCTTAGAGCAATCGGGTCCCCAGTTTATACAGGAAGGAAGTGGAGCAACAAAAATTATTGATATATGTAATTTGAATACATTTCCATGGAATTATGCTGAGTGGTAAAGCTAATTTCTCCAAACTACAAAGCATACGATTGGTACTAACATTTTAGAACAAAAACCCTGGTTCCTGGAGTCTCAATAGACTAGGGTTGGTGTGGGTGGGGTAGGGAGGGCGGTCAGGCTATCTTTCTGGTACAAAATGGTAGTTCCGGGGGTTGGGCCTCACCAGGAATGATTCGATTCCATTTTGCAAGGCAGCAGTTTGCTCTACAGCAGAGCAGCTGGTGAGGCAGAAATGTTCTGCCTTTTACTCTCCGTGAGTAAGCAACTCCTATCTTTCTATTACAAGCCACGAGGTGCACACTGGCATGCCACTCACTCATAAAACATTACCACTTATGAATCTATTGAAATAGATCAGAAGCACCCTGTGAACTTATCCAACACATCAGCTCAATGAAAAATGAAACCCCCTCACCTAGGCCCTATGAAAATCAGGTCCCGCCAGGTGTGGTGGAGCATGCCTGTAACCCGAGCACTTGGTAGAAAGAGGCAAGCAGATATCCCTGTGTTCAAGGACAGCCTGGGCTACATACTGAGTTCCTGGTGATCACACTTCGAAAATAAAATAAGGGGTTGCAGAGATGTGTCAGTGGTTAAGAGCACTTGCTGCTCTTGCAAAGGACCAGGATTTGGGTCCCAGCGCCCAGGTGGCAGTTCATAACCATCTGTATCTCCAGTTCCAGAGGGATCTAATGCCCTCTTCTGGCATCCTTGGGAGTGTCTTTGCCTGAGTGTATCGCTGTGCACCACATGTGTGCTGTGTGGGTGTGTCATCTGTCATTCAACCACACAGTGCAGGTGTTACAGGATCAACAGGCAATGAATTCTCAGAGCTTCAGCTCTGCGGAGGCCCCTGCTTGATGGGGCCTGTAGCGTAAAAAGAGCAGAGGAAAGAACACCCTGCCTCTGACTTGACCCAAGACCTGGGCCAAGGACTTGAAATCTCACCAATCCCTGAGCCCAAACTCCAACCGGTCCCTGAGTTTGCCCCAGAGTCTGACCCCAGAATTCCACCATCCCCCGAACCTGGAAGTCTCCACTCTAGAAAGGGCCACCCCCACCCCAAGAAACCCTATACACATCCTGTATTTTGTTCTGTTTGCTGCTTCTCTTCACCCCAGCAGAGTCGGCCACTCTCCTGGAATATTCCCCTCCCAATAAAGGTCTTGAGTGAGTTTTGTTGTGAGGTGTGACACTTTCGCTAGAACGGAGCCCGAAGCTGAGAAGAGCTGTGCCCGCTTTTGCTGGAGATGCCGAACAGAGCTGTACCAACTTCAGTGGGGAAATCATCTCCCTGCAGAGTTGTTACTCTTGCACTGGGGAAGCCTTTCCCTGCAGCAGAGCCCTAAGCTGTAACACTTACAGTGACTTTGTGGTATGCCTTGGCTTCCAGCTGCCAGGATACCTTTCTATCAGAACTGCAATATTGACAGGGCCTGCTCTCATTGTCATAGGTCAGACCAGAGCCTATTCCCCCAATTCAACCTTAGACCTTTGCCTTGAACTAGCTCTATCCACCCACAACAGTGTGGGCTTGTCTTATCATCTGCAGTATATATGACTGCATTGGCTCCCTGCCTAGGCCTCTGGAGAGACTTCCGTCATAGCTGTTCGGTAACCTATATATCTTTGTGTTGGGTGTAATGATGCAAGTTAGTACTAGCAATTAAGATAAATATGAAAGAACCTGCCATTGCCAATAGCCACAATACCAATAGAGATTAGGGTGATTTGTGCCGCTATGGCCTGAGAACCGATACAGCTTGTGGATTTATGTTAGTCGATACATTCTAACACTGTAGAAACACAATAACGTATCTGTGAACTTGAGGCAGACTGTGTTCATAAGACTTCGTCACCTACCTCAATATGCTAATTAGAGAGAACACCTTGAAAAGAGATCCGGTTGATGAGGCCACACTGGGAGGAACAAAGAAAAATGCACCTCAAGTCCATGTTCAGGGAACTGACATAAGCTTTAAGTCTAGAGGCGGCTAAGGAAGGATTGGGCAAGGGCCAAGAGGTTTGGGTGATGGTGTGGTGTGGTTTGACCATTATCTCTGTTCTGGTTCTGCCAGGTGGTGGCAGATACTGTTATATCTGTCTTCTTTGAAGGATTACTGGCTCTAATAAGATTATTCCTACTCCACAATACAACACCATGATCATGAACGATTGCCCTCATTGAGTTCCATCGTAAACTACCCAGTTGGGGGTGGGGGGCTTGATTCCTTATCATTGTTTTGTTTTGTTTTACAGAGTGTTTGAAGCAGGATCTTGCTATGTAGCTCTTCGGCAGCCTGGGTGGATGGTCTTAGAAACCTGATTGGGAGATTCAGAAAGACAGACTGGAGTAAAATAAAGATGGGATCAGGTGGTCCTGCAATTGGACGGAGACGTATCAGCAGCCCAGATACTCAGTACATTTATTATATACAGTATGATATAGAGCAGACTAGTCACCGGGTCCACACTGATGTGAGTGGCCTGTGCAGCCCCCTAAGGCCACGTTGCCATCGAGGGCCATTGTCTGGGTCCATGATCCCTCTTACTGTAGCTAGGGATGGTGTAGACGTCCATGGCCTGTGTTACCACCAATGTCCGTGGTCCATGCTGCTGCTGAGGGTTGTGATGGTGTCCGTGGCCTGTGCTGCTGCAGAGTGCTGTGTTGATATCTGCATTCTGTACTGCTACGGGAGACCATGCTGAGGTCTGTGGCACATGTTGACACTGGAGACCACGTGGATGTCAGTAGTCCACGCTGCCATCAGAAGCATGATCTGTGCTCCTGCTGACTGTAAAGGGTGAGAAAACGACTTGATTGCAGTGACATCACAAACACCATTTAGAAAGAAGAGCATAGAAGGCTTCTGTGATGATCCCACCCCCACCCCCACGCCAAAAAGAAGCAGCCTAGACAGAAAGTCATTGAAGAGAACTCTTTAAAATTGTGATAAGGATGCTGAAGTATGGCTGTCAGCAGTGAGTCCTTCAGTGGATGAAGGACTCAGTTTTCTTTCAGGGGCTGGCCGCTGGGAGTCTGACCATGCTCCAGTGAGTGTTTGGGCAACACAAATTGGATACGTATTTTTGTTCCTTTTTTTGGAGGGGAGAGTCACAAGAGTAGGGAGGGTGGACTTGGGAGGACTGGGGAGGGAGTAACTGGGGTGCATGATGTGCATGATGTTGGGGAGCATGTCAGGGTGGGGGAGGGGGTGATCAGGCAGTCCTCAGGGACAGGGAAGCTGTGGTTGACACTTTGCCACATGCTATTTTTAGTTGAGGGTCAACTGTTGGTCAGTATTCTTACTCAGATCAGGGGAAGGCCTTGCCACTCCTATAAGTCTGCAGCACGGTGTCCTGGACATGGCTGTGCCTATGTCAACAATGTTTACTCATATGGGAGGACACCCACTGCCCACATAACCCAGGCTGGCCTTCAGTTCACTGTGTAGCCCAGGCTGACCTCAAGTTTGCGGTAATCATCCTGCCTCAGCTACCCATGAGCTTAGAAAACAGATATTTATACCATATCTGACTTATAGCAAAGATGTTAGTAATTAGTCACTGAAATCCAGGGCAATGGCAGGTTGAGAGAAGGCCTGGGAGACCTTCTGGTGTCTTTGGGGGGTCTAGAGTATGACACTGTAAAAGCTGACATTAAGATGCCTGTTGGGTAAACTCTTTCCCGAGAGAGCTGGAAACAAATATCTAAGGGCTCCAATGACAGACCAAAGCACAAGTCTACCAAAGGTCAATGTAGGAAGTCAAAGAGTCTATTAGACCTACTCACTGAGTATGACTAAGGGGTAGCTTACAGAAACATGGATAACCCCCTAAAACAGCTGCATCACCAACAAGTCTCACCACAGCATGGATGACAACTTCCCCACAGTGACGTAGATGAGGTCCTCCCCCATAGCAGCACAGGCGGAATCCTCCCTATAGCAGCACAAGGAGGAGTTCTCCCCAATAGCAACACAGGAGAAGTCCTCCCCCACAGCAGCACAGGCAGAATCCTCCCCATAGCAGCACAAGGAGGAGTCTTTCCCATAGCAGCACAGGTGGAGTCCTCCCCCATAGCAGCACAGGAGAAGTCCTCCCCCATAGCAGCACAGGTGGAGTCCTCCCCCCATAGTGGCACAGGAGAAGTCCTCCCCCATAGCAGCACAGGTGGAGTCCTCCCCCATATAAGGACACGTAGAGTCCTCCCCCCATAGCAGCACAGATGGAGTCCTCCCCCCATAGCAGCACAGGCAGAGTCCTCCCCCCATAGCAGCACAGGCGGTGTCCTCCCCCCATAGCAGCACAGGCGGAGTCCTCCCCCACAGCTACAGTGATAAAATCTCCCCCAATAACTGCATCAATGAAATCCTCCCTCCACAGCAGCACAGATGAAATCCTCCTCATTGCAGTACAGGTAGAGTCCTCCCCCACAATGACATCAGTAAGATCCTCTGCTTGGTTAACCTTCTATCCTCTATATATTCTATATACTTATAGAGTATATAGCATGAGACCATGCACCTGGGGCAGAATTGCACACACCTGGCTGGGAGGTACAGCAGGAAGTTGCGGGAATCTCAGATGAGCATCAGATAATCCTCATCTCCTCCTTCTGTGAGGGAATGTCAGCAGGTAATGTGCTGGATTTCAAGGACCTTCTGCAAGAAGGCATGGCTGCTGTGATGAAGGTAACTGTTATGTCCAGTGAATCTCACTTGACAACAAAACTTAAAGAAACAAAAGGTGGAGGCAGGGCTAGAGAGACGGCTCAGCCATCAAGAACACTGGCTGCTTTTCCGTAGGACCCAGGTTAGCGTCCCATCACCTACGTGGTCGTTCACACCAGCTGTAACTGCAGTTCCAGGGGATACGATGCCTCACAGACAACATGCACATCAAACACCCGTACACATCAAATGTTTTAGCTTTTTCTTCTTGAGACAGGCTTTCTCTGTGTAGCCCCTGGAACTAGCTCTTGTAGACCAGGCTGGCCTCGAACTCACAGTTATCTGCCTGCCTCTGCCTCCTGATGTGCACCGCTACCATGCTCAACATTTTCCATGGATGCCGGCGAGTCAAGGTCAGGTTCTGATGCTTGCAGGGCCACCGATTTTACCCACTGAGCCACCGCCTGGAGCATTGTTCCCTCCATATCTCTCTTGAGGTATACCCCAGGCTAGCGTCAAATCTACTAAATAACTGCAGCTGGCCTTGAACTCCTCTGATTCTCCTGCTTCTGCCTTCCAAGCACTTGGGTCACAGGTGCACAAGATGACAACCAGACGTCTCCTTTCTTCCGTCCCTTAGACTAAGACCACATAGCTCATGGGATGGTGCCACTCACCTTCTGTATGGCTTTTCTTTTCCCCACTAGTCCTCTCTGGAAAAGCCCTGACAGACACACCCAAAGATGTGCCTCATTAAAGCCTGAGGTGTTTCTTGGTACATTCAAGTCGGCAAAATCAACATCATATGAGGTCAAGCGATGAGTCAACCATTTTAAGCAAAGGCAGGTTTTAATTGCCTGCTTCCTGGTTTCCTTCGCATAACACTCATTCTAAAAAAAATGCATGGTACAGTGTTGCATAAGACTATTTTCATGTAAGTAAAGGATATATATATATATTTGAGCATTCTCTCTCTCTCTCTCTCTCTCTCTCTCTCTCTCTCTCTCTCTCTCTGACAGGATCTCAGGCGTGGCTGACCTTCAATTTCAAATGCAGCTGATAATGACCTGAACTTCTGGTCCTCTTGCCTCCACCTCCCGAGGGCTGGACCAGGTTATAAGTATAAGATGTAGGGAACAGAACTCTGGCTTTGTGAGTGCTAGTCAAGCACTCAAAACACAGAGCTACATTCTGAACCCTCTAGAATATTCTTGAAATGACAAAATTATAGAAATAAAGATCTTAGTGTTGACAAGGGACTAGGGAGGTAAATGTGACCAGAAAAGAACAATACAAGGGTGGCCTGTGATGATGGAATGGTCTTGTGACTTAGACAGGATCACACCAGCTGGCCCTGAACTCCTGATTCTCCTACCTCAGCCTCCCAGGTGCTAGGAACACAGGCCTGCACCACACACCCAGTGGCCAGTGAGTCTTATTAACCTTAAATTCTACCTCACTGAATTGGCGGAGACACGGGCCTACTAAACGTAGACTATTTTGCAACTTGCCTTTTCACCCAATGAATATTGTGAACTTTGCAACTCTACCTCCTTCTTACTAATCGCATTGTGTTTCCTTGCCTGGGCGCGCCACAGCCCCTCAACTTCACACTAGTTCCCCTCTGTTAAAAGGTTCTGCTTTTTCCTTTGTTCTTAATTCTTAAAACTAACATTTCAGGGCCCAGGTGTGGGTGGGGCTCACCTTTAACCTCAACACTCAGGGAGCTGAGGCTGCAGGACCAAGAATTTCAGACCAGCCCCCGTCTCACACTAAACAAAGGAAACTTGACGTTAACATTGTAATGTTCAGCCTTTTCATACAGCTTTGAGTGCTGGGGGGTTTGTTGACTCCATTCTAGTAGATATTTGCTTGATCTTTCAAAATTTACATGTGCTTAAATTTCAGAGCAAACTATCAAATTGCCTTACAAAATTAGGTCGTGTCAACGCGACTCCCTTCTGGCGATGAGGCCTGGGGTTGGTCCCCAGAGTTCTCTGTAAGTTTATTTACTTGTTCTCGCCCCTGAAGCCTTTTCATCCAGATAGTGTTTTCTTTTCTGCTCTCTGTAGAGTTTCTGCAGCTCTGAACTTTGCTTGTTAATGTTTTGCTGGCTTGCACGAATGACCTAGTTATCTGATGATCATCCGGTCCACAAGGAGCTCAGAGGACAGTGGAAGAAAAGCATGCGAACACTACTATAAGCAGAATAAAAAGTGAAATTTACAAGATCCTTATACGTGTGGAGCTGTGGGTATGGTTCGGTGCGTAGAGTACCAGTATAGCATACCATCTGTGTGTGTGTATGTGTGTGTGTGATCCATTTATGATGAGACATGGTGTTGATATTTATTAATTATATATATTTATTGATAGTGGTAAAAATAAGCTGTCGAGAACATGCGCTTTCCAGGGAGATGTGTTAACTCATGCTATTCGACACCAGCCCTCCAGGGGAGAAGGTGTATTGTTATCATTTTATAGGTGCTTTGCTAGGCGCTGACAGATGAGTAGGAGTTAACTAGGTGGGGAAAGGGCATGAAGGAGAGGGAATTCCTGAGGAATGGACTAGGTGGGGAAAGGGCATGAAGGAGAGGGAATTTCTGAGGAATGGAGCGTGCACAGAGGCAGGAGGCCTGTAGCAGCAAGGTGTGACTTCAGAAGAAGGGAGAACAGTCAAACAACTAGAAGATGAGGAACGAAGTTAGAAAGGCCCACAAATGGGTGGATATGTATGGGTGTTTCTCACGCCCTACCTGTCACCCAGCTAGGCACACACACACACACCATTTGCTGGTCCAAACATTACTAACAACAGTTTTTAATGAAGTCAAGGGGAAAGACGCCTCATCAACAAGTAATGCTCAGTTTGAAATCCCCAGATTAAGATTTCCTGGGTGGTAGCAACGTGTACCTTGAATCCCAGCATTCGGGAGGCAGAGGTAAGTGGATCCCTGTGAGCTCGAGGCCAGCCTGGCCTACAGAATGAGTTCCAGGACAGCCAGAGCTGTTACACAGAGAAACTCTGTTTCAAAAAACCAACCAAACAAACAAATAATAAAATAAAACAAAGTTTAAGATTTAACCAGGCTGAAAGGAGAAACTGGAAGGCTCAGGTAAAG